AAACTGCATATTTGAAAATAACTCTGCAGAAGGATTCAACCTGTATCTGCTGTAGGACCTGCTGGTATTTACTTGCCATGAAGCAGTATTTTCTCCATTTGTAAGTTTGTTGAGGTTTTTGTTCTTCTATCAGCTGCTCAGCAAGAGGCCAAAATGAACAATAAACATTTAAAGAGGTCCTAACTCTAGGAGAGCTGCTGGTTTTCTAAGGTTAGAGTTGCTTGCTTAAGCACCATACCACAATGCAATCTGGTCCCAAATTTGACAATGAGCTTAGTACATCTAAAATCCCCTAGTGATTTTCAGTGTTGTCTCCCAATTTTTTACATTGCAGAATCTGCTTTTGTTAAAGAGAAGTGTCTTGGACGTTGGTACAATGAGAGAGGAATTAATGGATGTGGTATCACTGGATATATAGTCACCTCCTGGGTTTAAACAGTGTGCCACATAGCCAGACAGTCTCACCAGGCATTTCTGGGGTGGGAGAAGGGAAAAATAAATGAAAAAGCAAAATTTAGTTTTACAAAATGAAGCAGCTGTCATAAAGGAAATGAATAGAGTATGTACAGTTGGCCTTTTAGTAATGTATAATTACTGTACGGCTCCTAATTAGTTGCTGTTTTACAATACATCTTTTAATACCAATTTGTAAGTGTCTGAGAAGGAAGGTTTACATTTTGTTTCCGTTTTGTAACCTCGGGACAGAATCAAGAAACCGTGAGCATATGCCCTTATTTGGGAAAAAATCTCCCTCTGCAATTTATTAACATTTATTTGCATTGAACATACAATCTGTGGTGCTATATAACCACATAATGACGGGGATCACCATCATGGGATTTGTCTTCTGTGCTTGGCAGGTTCTTGTTATTCTGTCTATGTCCAATTGTAGTCACTACTGGAGACATGAAGGGTCCACTGTGTCTCATATTCTCCGACCCACCCAGGATGGTTGCTCTTTAGAGGCTTGTAATTAGAGGGTCTGGCTTTGCATGTGTAGATACCCTGACATCACACACCGAATGCAGCTACACCCACGTATCTCAGGATAGAAAGTTGGATGCTTTGTTCTTGGCTCCTTTCTGACATGCCCTTCTTCCCTCATTTGATCTTAGGCTACAAACAAGCAAGTTATGCCTTGTGATAGCTTTCTCTTCATGTCGTTTGAGTTACTTGTGTCTTTCTCCTGGGGCACGCGTGTGCTTGTGTTGCCTATTCGTTAAGCCCAAGCAACCACAGCATTGGTTTGTTGCCATGCTGTGCATGATGTTGAGGTATGTTTGGTCTCCAAGCCCCACATTTTTATTTTGCATGAGGCTCACAGTTGAGCTGCATTTGGAAGAATGATCAGGCAGGGTGAGAGAAGAAAACCACAGCAGAGGAAATGTAGCTTGGGAAGCAAAGAGAGGGTCTTCAGTGAAGCAGTCATGCAGCATCTTTTAATAGATATTGGGTTCTCCATAGATAGGTATAATCTCATGTGACTTTGGGCACCAAAATGAGGGTAATAGTTGCCCTAGTTTCTTCTGCTTTCAGTGGGGGGAGAAACTAGAGTATCTGGGCTCTCTTCTTGGCTGGATGTTGAATACTTGAAATAAGGTGGAGTGAAACTAGGTCAGAACTTTCCTATCTTCCTCTGGAAGTCCCCACCTTTATCAGAATCACCAGGGATCTCAGGCAATAGGATCTCAAAACCTATCAAGCCATCAACTCCTAAGCACACTTATCTCATGCCTTCTGCATTTTAAAGGTCTTCTGTCAGGGTAACTCTTCTACAGCTGGTCACTGAGAGGCAGTCCTGTGAGTTTGGTACAGCTTTTTCTTTTATGTTGGAGCTTCATCAGTCCACAAAGTCTTTGGACCAGGTGCCAAACCCACCTAAACAACGAGGGTTCAGCTTAGAGACACAGGCTTATCCTTTTCATGCATGCCTGCCTTCCCACAGTTCCCACTCCCCTGCCCAACTTTTCGCCTTTGGCGTCTCTGTCTCACAAGACACTGTTGCTTTAACAGCTGTTTTGTTTCATTTAAACACCTACCTCAGCTCCTGTCCAGAATGCAAACATTTCATTAGCACCTCATCTCCTTGGCTTCAGCTCGCAGCACTCGGCCATAATGAAGTGCTGCACTCAGAAATATAATGTGGGGAACACTTGATTAATGCACTGAGACAGGTGACGGGAGTGACCCTCTGGGAAAAGCTCAGGACTAAATTAATCTCGGATGTAATGCCAACAAAGACAGTCTACCAGCTTTGCTCAGATACATGCTAAGGTCCTGATCCAAAGTCCTTAGACATCTTTCTGGAGCTTTTGTGTTAGGTCCCAGACCCAAAGTGATGGGAAGTGGCTGGTCTCAGGTTAGCCCAAGAGGATGGATCCATTGGGTGGGAAGTGCACATTGTGCAGGAAGTGGCACATTAGGCTTAATGGGCATTCTCTCTCAAACTTTGCATGCACACATGCATACACATTTAAAACAAAATAAAAAATGCATTGGTTAGAATAATTTTTTCTGATGAAAAATCTTTGTAGCAGATGTTTCACTGTAACACAAATATTTCAGCATCTGTTTCATGTTTTGATGAATAGGCATTACCTTTCCATCCAGAGCCAAGAGCTGGATCTGCTGCAAAGACTCTTTCCTCTTTTTGGATATTGATAAAAGTATCTGGGACGTCGTTTTAGCAGAGATTAAAGACACCTTTAGTAGCCAAACTACATGGAAGTAAGGCAAATTGCAGTCTGTGATAACATTGAAAGGGGAGAAAATCCCTCATTTTCTGCTTTCCATACATAAAAGGTCTTAAACAAAAATACCATATTGTATAGAACCTGCATCACAAAATAGCCAAGTTTTTTGGTCACTGGAAAAGAATGCTACCTTCTTTTTGCCTGTGACAAGATAAGCTACCAAAGTATACTATAGAACTTTCTTAAGAGCTACAGAGATCAGGCTTCCAGATTTTAAAACACTGAAAAAACCCACACTTAAATGCTATGGATTTTTACTATTTCTTCTTGGCTATTAATGTCAACCAGCTTATTGTGTATACACAGTAAATGTGTTAAGATGATTTCTAGAGTATTTAGGAAAATCAGTTTAATAATCAGTTTAAAAAATTGATTTATTATTATTAAATTCCACTTAAGAACAAAGGAATAAGGGATTCCAGTCCTGGATTGTAAAGGCTTGACAGCAGTAGCACTAGAAGACAAGGTTTTCAACCATTTCAGTGGTTGAAGCATGGGTTACTGCATATTTTGGGAAACCAGTCTCTGAGGCTCAGGAAAAATGTTATCTATTAATCAAGGGACAAGGGCAGTAGATGCCAAGGGAAGGAAATATCTGTGTAAGGTGCAGGAGAGGTTTGATGCAAGAACAAATGAGTTAGTTGATCATGAATAAATAAATGTAGCTTGGCGAGTAGGAGCTTTATGCTGTCAGAGGAGCACAGTATGGTGCAGTTTCCCAGTAGGAAACGTGATGGCATGAGAAACCTTCCAAACTCAAGCACCAGCAGTGGCAGTTCTAGCTGTCTCTGCTTCTCCTTGAACCTTGCTGCAATTGAAATGTTATTTTAAGGTCATCTGGATGTAGCAATAAAATCAAATTCTAGTTTGATGTGATCGTATTCTCCCATTGCTCGTTTTTATCTGACTTATGACTGGTGGCTGAGTCAGGATGCTGCGCATTCCCCGTGCCACATGTTGCTGTTGTAACACTCCTTCTGAGGGCTCTGCTGGAGAGTGTGCTATGCTGTAACTTCTTTTCACTGGTGGGTTTAGAAACAGTATCAGGAGTAAATACCGAAGTATTTCCGTGAAAGTGAACCCCTAGGGTACACTTTAGGCTTGCAAAATGTTGAAATCCCATGGGACTGTCATTGGCTTGCTGAACAGAGGTGTAGGTTTGGTGCCTACATGTTCAGAATACAGAAAAAGAACAGCAGCTTCCTCTCAGAAGGAAGGTTGATTTCTACAGTCAGCATTAGCTGGCAGTGGAGCTGTTTCTTTGTGGGGCAGGCCTGCCTGGTGGGTAGACACTAACCAGCTGAAGAAAGCATGATCAAAGTAACTTTTTTTTCCTTTTCCTCTGCACAGTCAGTTCTACCAACTGGTACAGCTGGTCTCATTAAAAAATGTTAGATGGAAAGTGGTTGAGTCAGCTCTGGTTAGTAACAAAGCGGGGGTTTTAGGTTGAGAAAAACCTTCAGGTTGGGTAGGCTCTACTGCTGTAATTTTGCAGTTATGAGGCCAGTACTGTTTCATGTGATCCTGGGTGTGCATCCAGATTAACCTGTGGGAAGTTATCTATGGGAGAACTCTTTGTGTGTGTCAGCCGTGGGGCAGAAGGTGCACTGTAGGAGGGACTGAAGCTCTTACCCAAGGCTGACTCCCTTCTGAATTGAGTGATTTGAAAGGTAGTGTCTTATCTAAATCTCTGTGGGCACCTGCTGCTTCTCTGGATGAAGTGGCATAACTAAACTATCTCTGTGTCTTCATGATTGCCTGCCAGAGGTTATGTGGTGGGAAACATTCTAAGGAGTGTAACCTGTGCAGATACTAAATACCTTCCTTGAGTGCCCCAGACCTACTCTTGAATTCTGATGCTGCAGGTAACAGTAACCTGCTTCAGGATGGGTTTTGAAATCTCTTTTCCTGCATGTTTCCTTAATCCTCATCTTTCTCCTGCCCCTCCTGCCCCACCCCACTCTAATTCCTTCTTTTTCTAAACCCAGAGCTGCTGATTACGGAAGCAGAAAAGCACTATTCCAGCGTGCATTTAGAATAAAGTCAGTATTTCCTCACTGTCCCATCTGATGGGATAAATGTTGCCAAGCTCCACTGCAGGCTGCCCCAGTGGGTGGGGGAAAGGAGATGCTGTCGTCACCCTATAAATTGATGTGTGTGGAGGATGGGACTGAGCATATGTCAGAAGTCTCAATGGTGCTTTAGGTTTGCTAGAGCCTTTTCTCACTCCATTCCTCTCCCCTGCAGGCCATGGTGGAGACGGTGAACAACCTCCTGCAGCCACAGGCTCTGAATGCGTGGAGGGACCTGAATGCAAGCGAACAGCAGCGCGCAGCCACCAAGTTGCTCGACACCGTGGAGGACAGTGCCTTTGTGCTGGCTGATAACCTGCTGAAGACAGACATCGTCCGGGAGAACACTGACAACATCCGTAAGAGACAGATCCCATAAATATCAAGAGCAGCAAGCGGAAGAGTAAAGGCTGTGAAACCTGGCTTTGGCCCCGGCCCCTAGATTAATTGGAGCGCAGTTTGTTAGCTACGTCTTGTCCCTTTCTGCGGGACTTCAAAGTCTTTCTGAAAGAGCCTAAAGGAATAAGGCAGCTCTCTACCCTTGAAATCCCATGGAAAATGAGCACCTGACCTGCCTTTATTACTCTTGGCTTTGAGGGTATAATCTGTGCTAGAGCAACGAGAGCATTGCTTCACAGGGAGATTGTTCATCGTAATGCAATTGTGTTTCATTTCATACAAATTTGTGTCTTTATTCAGCTGATTGTTGATTTTAATTAAAAAACAAGCATGATGGAAAGTACCAGCACTCCCACTGTGCATATGTAAAATGAGAACAACTCTTCTTTCTATTTCTATGAATACAGATCCTGAGCATTGATAACATTTACACAAAGTAGCAATCGCCAGTGGCAAAGAACTAGTATTTTCAGATTTTCATTTTAACCATTGTCCTTAATATCCTGAGGTTCTTGTTTACAAGAACTGGTTGTCTTTTGTCTTCCACAGAGAGTAGAATTTATTTGCCTTTTTTTTTTTTTAATTAAATTTAAAACTTCTTCAGGGCAAAGGTTTGAAAAGAAATAGGAGCCCAAACACATTCTAGTATGAAGCATTGTAAGTTGATTCCTCTGCTCTCAGATGGTCTGGAACACCATTTCATAGCTTTGAAATACCGTGTTGAAGATTATTTCAGTATAGATTTTTCTTAGTGTCGGTCTCTCTTGCAAACAGAGCTGGAAGTTGCGAGACTAAGCACAGATGGGAATCTGGAAGATCTGAAATTTCCCCAGAACATGGGCCACGGGAGCGCCATTCAGCTGTCAGCAAATACCTTGAAGCAAAATGGTCGAAATGGTAGGTCTAGCACCTCAGGCCACGCCAGCCTTATGAGTCAGTCATGCCTTAGGCACTCTTTTGTGTTTAACCATTGCAAGTATAGTATTAATCTCTCTGTTAATATTTAAATTATTGATAGCGTCGGTTGCTCATGCCCTTGACTGCAAGCTCATTTAGCTGACTGGGAATGCATTTTATTGCTAAGTGATTCACAGCCTTCAAAAGTATTCTGTGATGGTAAAAATGCATCAGATCTTTAAATTATAAGTGGCTTGTTTGCGTAAACTGCTTCACAACAGGGCACTATCTGAAAAAATAGAGGGAAGAAACAATAGTAGCAAATATTAATAATGAGCTGACATGGTAGAAAAAGTTGATTAACTGTTATGAGTCTAAATCTTTAGTGCCTTTCTTTCTGTATGTTATGAACCTCCTGATACCGCATAAAGTAGAGATGATGTTATACGTGAATAGTCTTCATCCTGCCAAACCATTTATTTTCAGATCAGGAGTTTGAGCAGACACCTTTGTTGATCTCTACAACCCCACTGCAGATCAACTTCAAACTCATAAGCTTCTACTGATTTGCCTAATATACTCCTATTTCTGAATTCCTTTAAAATTTAATCTATGTGCAGGGGACCACAATCTAGTACAGGCTTTGATCACTGCTTGGGTTGGAAGGGACTTTTAAGATCACCTAGTTCCAACCCCTCTGCCATGGGCAGAGATGCTGCTCACTAGATCAGGTTACTCAAAGCCCCGTCCAACCTGGTCTTGAACACTTCCATGGATGGGACATCCACAACTTCTCTGGGGAATCTGTTCCAGTGCCTTGCCCTTCTCTGAGCAAAGAATAAAGAAAGTGGAGTGATAGGGCAGTATTACAGCCAGATCAGATGTGTTAAAACTTCCAAAAATTTCAGGCAACTATTGAAAGTAAAGTTTGGTCTGGTGGTTCAGAAATAAAGTTTTGCCATTGGCTCCCTTGATGGCATTTGGCACCTTTGGATATAGGATTTGCAGAGAAGTATTTCTTTTAGAGACAGTCTAAACTCAAGATGTGTAGCAAAACTCCATCAGGACAGGAGTTTCACTCTGCTATCAAGCTTTGGAGATCTGTAGGGAAAGAGAAACTCTGTAGGGAAAGAGAAAGTGAAGGGGAAGTCTGTGTTTCTAAGCATAGTAACACTGGAGTTCTGATCAAATCAGAAGAACCCCATCGATTTGCACCAGCTTGGCACATGCCTGGAGGTAACCAAAGAGCTAGAAATAAATTATAGTAGAAGGATTTAGGTTGAGAGGGACCTTTGGAGTCATCAGTGCTTCACCTTCCTTAGAAGCTGTGGTGATTCCTATAGAATCAAAAACATACCTCTCTCTACAACTAATACAAATAGAGGCAAACAAATCACATTCCATTCTTATTTATAGCCTGTGAAATAATGTGCAAAACAGAAGGCAAACTGGATGGTTTCAGTTAAAAACAGTTGGCTGGTAGCCCAGGTTTTCTGCAGGCTTCCTAAGGGTGTTTTTCTGGTTATCTGATTGGCAAATTAGGAAAATAAATATATTTTTAAATTAAATTTCTTGATTTTTGTTTTACCCATCATGTGAGATTGGAACTGTGTTGGAAAGGTTTTGATTTCTTCTCTCAGATTTGTCCCCACACTTTTCTGAAAAAAGTCTTAATTTATTAACAGACTAAATTATAGTTTTATACCGCATCTGTGTGACAGGCCAGCACGAAACATGTTTCCCAAGCATAGCCTGAAGAATAAAGTGATGTTAGGTGAGAAACTGACCACCTGGCCTCCTTTTTCCTGGAGCCAGTTACACCTACTGGTGTCAAAAATAAGCCCACCTTCTCTGTCTGTCTTCCGCTGATTTGTTTGCTTATAAAAGTTTGTTTTGGGAGAAGGAGGTCTGCCTTTCTTATCCGTGGAATGCTTGTTGCACCTCTTGGTGATCACTGGGATTGGCAGGAGGTGGGTTTTCATAAGCCACATCTTGGTCTGTTCACATTTTCTCAGAGAAGTTTTGAAATTGGTTCAGAGAAGAGATTTGTCATCTAGAAAAACATCACCCCAGTGAGTTGATTTGGGTATCTAACCTCTTACTACTCTTCTAGGTGAAATCAGGGTGGCTTTTGTACTGTATAACAACCTGGGCACCTATCTCTCCACGGAGAATGCCAGCATGAAGTTGGGAACAGAGGCAATGTCAACTAATCACTCCGTCATTGTCAACTCCCCTGTCATCACTGCAGCAATAAACAAAGAGTTCAGCAATAAGGTTTACCTGGCTGATCCTGTGGTGTTTACTGTCAAGCACATCAAGGTGTGTGAGTTCGAAAAGCACTTCTCTTTTTTTCAGTTTCTGAAATAAAGTGATGGAAAAGTTGGCTGCTGTGAGGCCCCCAGCAGTGCTTGATTAGATTTTGAATTATACTTTTGTTCCTTTGCATTTTGTGTTATTTATGGAGGTGGTCTCTTTTACATTGCATTAATAGAAGTAAAGAAAATGTCTCCTTTGAGCTGATGCCCATTGCTCAGTTGCTGACATGCGTCATTCTGTAATTAAAAACTACCAATATATTAGAATAGACCATAATATTATTTTATCATGGTGGCAGGGGATGTTAGAGGAAGGTGGAATTACAGTGAAAGAGGACAGCTAGTCCTCCTGTTAGCCAAGCACAGTCATTGCAAAAGTTGATTGCTTAAAGCAATTAATTTCTCTCCTCTGCAATGCAAATGAAGCAGTCTGGTTTGGAAGAGCTGGATTTAGTCAATGCCTGAAATTAATCAAGAACAAAGAACTAAGTTTGCATTAGGAAAGAGAGCAGCAACAATCTAACTTTCTCTGGTATTGGCAAGTATTATGTGACGTATAAACCACTGCTGATTATTTATCTAAAATTAGAGTGTGAGAGTTACGAAGTGCCTCAGTAGTGCATTTAGAAATCTCTGAGAGCCTATCATTTTTATTACATTTATTAATTTCTTCCCTGCAGCAGTCAGAAGAAAATTTCAACCCGAATTGTTCGTTCTGGAGCTATACAAAACGTACAATGACAGGGTACTGGTCCACCCAGGGCTGCCGCCTCCTGACAACTAACAAGACACACACCACGTGCTCCTGCAATCACCTAACCAACTTTGCAGTCCTGATGGCACATGTGGAAGTTAAGGTAGGCATTGCACGTTCACAGGCTGCCGGTGCACTGGGTGGGCAGGAGAAGTGGTCAGTGTGTAATACAGTTTTCCTACTGCAAATGGAGCTGAGCAGGGAAGTTGCTGTGTGACAGGAACTCTAAAAGTAGAAACCATCTGGTGTAAATCTTCCTTCTGCTGCATGATGAAACAGGAGATAGTCACACCAATGCAAATCCTGTCTTAAGCTCCTAGCTTGGGCAGTTCTGAGCTGAGGATAATGAGTGAGCAGGCTTGCTGTTGCCATATCATTTGGTAACTGGTGCAGAACGTCTCCTGGCTGGGTTCTTGCTCGTGGGTTCCTCAGTGTAGGTGTACTGAGCACCCTGGCTGCAGTCTGCCTCGTGGGTGCAAGTTGTGCGTCCTGCTTGCAGCAGCTGCAGATACAGTGCCACACATGTTTGTGTGAGGTACATGTGGGGACTCAAAAGTGTTTTCCCACTTCCTGTTAGGGGGAAAACGTTACCTTCTCTGCATCTCATTGCGTGACAGGGAGCTACACATAAAAGGGAAGCTTCTTATACCATCCTGTATAGACTGTACATCTACCTGAGGCCAGTACATGATCAACTAGTTCCCTCACCTGCATTTAGGTCTGTAGCATAATTGTGGCTTTCCATATGACTACCACTGGAGCTAAATAGTTACTCCTGAAAGTAGATGTTCTTTGTTGTTGCAATGGTTTGGAGAGTAAAGTGCACATTTGGGATTTTATTCAAGAACAGGAGAATGGTTGAGATGGTCCTCCATTTCCTAAGCTGCCTTGGCTGTCTTTGATTGAGAACTGTCTCAGCTGCTACAGAAAGAAGAGGAGAAGGCTCTGAAGCCCAAAAGATTTTGGCCTAGTCGTTTTCTGTGTTGCAGTGTCTTCATTTCATGTGCCTGGCACTGCAGCAGAATCTACAGCTCTGAGCTAGATATGGACCTGGCATCTTCCATGCAGGCAGAACATTTCAGAACCACTTCCATGACCATATAACGACAAAAACTATTATGGTTTTAAAAGACCTTTTCTCAAATAGCCTTCCAGTGTCACTGCTTTGTATATTTTTGTTCTGCTTCATAATCTGAAGAGGAATATGAAGAGCTACAATAAAATATATATTAAACAACCATCATGCATGACCAAAACTCTTAAAAAAAAAAGAAATGAGAGCATGGGAGCACATTTGCCACAACAGCTGGAACCAGCTGAGGGGGGCAGGGATAGATCTATTGCTGCTGCAGGTTCACATATCCTTTTTATTCTGCAGGAGTCAGTTCTAGTCCAGAAAGCATGCCATAAAATGACTGAGGCATTGTCCTGGGAGATGTCTAAAGAAATGGCCTATTCAGAGCACATATTTACAGGTTAATGGCATTCTGCAGTCCAGGTCTGGTTTTGCCAGTTTCCTACAACTGCTTGAATTTTCATAAGAAATGTGTGCTTGGCTTGTTATCACCTGTCTGGAATTAACAGATATACCTGAGTCACTGAAGTCAGAGATTGCACCTGGGAAATGCAGATAACTTTCCACTCCATTGGTGTGAATGAGGGTGATCCCTACTGCATGTGCAGGATACAGGCTGGTGCTGAACAAGCCTCTTCTCAAACTGCAAGTAGGTCAGCCTTGTCTGCACATTTCATCCAAACCTCATTAGACAAGTAGTGCTCGTGTTATCTCATCTTGCAGGAAAAGGATGTTAGACCCTTCCTCGCCAACAGGTTGGAAAGAGATACAGCTGGAAGCTTCCTGAGTGCCAAGCCAGTGTGCTATTAGCTGGTGGCTGTTTCTGGGTTAACAAGTACCCTCAAGACTTTCAAGTCATGTTTTATCATTTATCTGCAGCCAAAGTATCACTGCTGTAAGAGCCAAATTGGCTGCACTTTATTGACTCTGATGTAACCATACAGCTTCCTGGCATGCCCACTTTAATGATCATCCTGGTCTGAGGGCAAAGGCAGGTATGTCACCTGCAAACCTTTGCAGCTCGTCCCTCCAGCTGCTTCTCACCTGACTCTTCCTGGTGACACCGTCTCGCTCTGGTCTGCTGGTGGAGCTGACCACGTGGCTCTTGGCAAATCTGGGATGTGGCTTCTATGACATTCCTTATGTTATTGCACTGAGTTGATTTTAAAGTCTTGGCAGCAGAATACCTGCTGTTTTGGAAAAGTGGAGGCTTAAAAATAAATGGGGGTTGCTGTCGTTCCTTGACTCTCACTCGCTGCTCATAGACATGCTTTTGAGCCATTTTGTTATTTTGTGTCTTGTACAAAGAGGCATTCCATGCCTCAAAGACCTGTTAGTCTTCTTGGAGGTGGAATGATCTTTGGGGCAATGATGTTGCGTGCAGGACCTCTTAGAGCAGCGTTCTGGCCAGTGACTAGGATCCCTAAAGAGGACTTTCATATGCACAATAGTGAATAATATTCTAGGAGTTTTGCAGCAGAAACAATTTTCTCCAGTAATTGAGATTTGTAGTTTACTGTCCTTAATTGTTTGAATTTTTGGATCCACAGGGAGCGTCCTTTGGTGTAATTAGTGAATATAGCACCCTACCTAATGAGACTGAACATTGGGCCTCATGGGGAGCAGACATCCAAGTCCTGCTCCTTAATCAAAAAAACAGCACCCATTTGACAAGTGTCTCATCTGGTCATGAATGATGTCTCTCCCTGGTAACATGGCAAAAGAGTGTGTTCTCCAGAGGAGACCTCAGTGGCTGCTCTGCAAGTTACAGGCTACAATTTAATTATTAGCAGAGAGTATGTGGCAAGGTGGAGCTGGAAGGCAGCGCTGCTGAGGGAGTTGATTGATGGCCTTCTGGCTCTCTAGCATGAAAAAGCAATATGTCTTTGTCCAAAGGGGCAGAAAATGACACTGGCTGACCATGGCAACAGGGATTTATTGGTGTGCTTCAGGAGTAGAAGTTGCTGGGATCAATTCTGGTCTTAATACGACAGTACCTGATTAAGAGGAGAATTTAATTTGAAGATGCTTTCTGCCTGTTAAAATTGGTTGGGCCCAGAGTTTCTTATTCACCCACATACTTCAGTGGGGTAAAACAACAGTGCCCAAGACCAAAAGCTGGCTGTGCTCACAAGCAGGATGCATAGCTGCTGGGAACAGTGATGGACCCTCATCTGCAGGTACCCCTCTAGCCCCTGTCAGAGCCCCAGCTAGCATGAGGAGAGAACAGTAGGACTGTATAACAAGTTGTGAGCTGGATCTCACTGATGAATCCTCCTGGGAAGGGATGACCTTACAGACATGCAGTGCTCATTGCCCTGCCAGACAGTTTACCAGGAAAAATGAGAACCTCCTTTTGCAGAGAGGTTTTAAGACTTGGAAACAAATCACTGTTTTTACCATCTAGGAGGCTCATTTGACCTGTGTTATGAGAAAATTATTACAGTCTCATAGATGTTTTGTTAAATTGTGATATAAGTTTAACATAGACGAGATCTATGTTAATATCTATCTATTGCTTGAATTGGTAGGATATCATCACCCTTAAATTCTATAAAAATGTGGTGGCTCTCATGCTGTGGAACAAAGCCTATAGTTAAATAAGCCATTCTACCTATGTAATTGCTGCAGAATTAGTCAAAATTTACAAGCTGTTTTTCATATAAGCTTTTGCTTTTCATCATATGAATTATAGCAGATGCATCTTAAATGTATCATGGGAAAATTATGCAGCCAGAAAACAAGTTTAGAGCTGGTGGGAAAATGCAATTAAAAAACCCACCCAACACAGAGTAAGCAAAGGTACCCCAGGGTAGATAAACATTGCTTATCAGTATGTAGTGAATGCCAGATCTTACTCTTCTTTAAAAAAAAAAAAAAAGAGAAAGAGGGGAAAAAAGAAAGCTGTTTTAACTGTTGCAATTAATAGGAAGCTTTCAGGTGTTATTCTATACCAAAAACACGTTACACTGTGCTAATTATTTGGGGAATGGAAGCATAAGGCAAATGAAGGAGAGAAAGGAATAAAAATATGTGACATCTGAATGGAATGCAGTGGTCCCTTGCCTAAAGCGGTACAACCATTTCAGATATAAAGAGCAAGCTGAAGTTATTGCAAGCTGGTTTATCCATATATTAGCACTTGTGGGATTGAGCAGAAATGAATGAAAGCAGAAGTGGGTGCAGGATTACAAAAACACTCTAACTGCAGAATTAAATTACTGAAACCTCCATGTAATGAATTTTGCAAGACAAATCATTTAGTACCATCAAAGGTGCTAATTCTAAAAAAACCCAAACTTATATATTACACGTTGCAAAAAGTAACTTGTTCTAATATGTTATTAAATAAGAACTATTTTAATTAAGTGGAAAAATCATTAAATGTGTTTGTCTTTAGTGAGATTGTAAAATTCAAAATACAGCAGTATTTGAATCTGTGTTAGGGACAGAAATCTGTCACCTCAGTGAACCCCAAGAACAAGGAGCTATAAACAGCATGTTGGTTATGCCTTAATTAAAATATACCTATTAGGTCAAGTAATCTATGCCTATGGGGTCTATTTAGAGTTGTAACTGGTAGCAGCGTCCTTCAGCTTTTTGTCTAGGTTAGACAGCAGCAAGTCACTCCAGGGAGTTCATTGAGTTCCTTACCCTCAGTTTGACACACATTGTTTTGCATTGAGCTCTAATTGTGTCTTACTGTTTCTAGTTCTCATGTGTTTTGTTGGACATCTCACTGGTCCTTGTCTGTGCATTCCCCAAAGCACTGACCCAGATCTTCTCAGGTTTCCACTTTTGGGTGTCCAACCTGGAAACAACTAGAGAAACAACTGTTCCTGGCTTCAGATGAAAATACCCTTCAGCCCCTGAATTTGCAGTTTCTTAGCTTGGTGCTTACAGGTGTCAGAAATTGGAGCTCACTGCAGTTTATTAGCCATGGCTTCCTTTCCCTTCAGCCCAACAGGTACATATTTGCTTAGTATTGCTCTTCTTGACTCTCCAAGCTGCCAGACAGCGCTAGTTTC